TCCTCAAGATAAGTAAATGCATGATTCATTGCTTCTGTAAGTGTAGTGCTTTTGGAACGACCATGTTTTTTTCCGAGGGAGAAGGTAAGTTATCAATAAGATAAAATAGAAAGGGCAGAAGCGAAATGAAAGTAAATCTAACTTGAAGATCCAAAACAGATAATCATTTCTCAATGACGAAGATCTTGACATTGGCCAAATCAGCAAACAGATCAAGAATATAAAAAGGGAAGCTGCACTTGAGGTAGATGGTAACATGACAAGCAAAGTTCCAGTAAGTTCTCAGCAAAAACTAAACGGCTTATGCAAAACCAAAGGGACATAAAAGTGTTATTAAGAAAGGACAGAACAGAATCAGCAGAACTAACAAATACTATTAATAAAAAGAAGAGGGGGGATGTATGCAATTTCAACATTGCATACATCTGGCACTAGCATTAAAACAGCTGAAAGGAGACTTGGAACATGGAAAATTCAAATGTATGAAAAAAAAACTAAAACCTGAACAATAAACAGATGAAGAAGTGACCTATAATAAGTTTAAAATACTTAAAGTAGTGGATAACTGTTACAGTGATTTATCCATTTTCAATGAACAGACGCAGATAGTAAACGCGGCAATTGCGTATAAAAAGAGCACTCAGAGGCATAAAAAGAGAGGACGATAGTAGCACAGACTATATACTAGAACTACAGCAGTGAGATTAACCACTCATTTCACTGGTCAACAACCGGAGCAGCCTCAAATATCCTGATCTTCAATCAGCACGTCGTCCTGTAGCTCACTCTGATGAAATCCCAGTACCTGTCTTTGGAGAACTTCCTGCCATTAGTCATGGACGATTCCTCCAGTGATCAAGAAGATGAAGAATTGGTTCTTGACGATAATGCTCTACATCCTTTTTCCCGAAATGAGCTAAATGATCTAGTTCACGATATCAGCTTGTTAAAGTCCTCTGCTGAACTGTTGGCATCCAAACTGAAGGAAAAAAAACTTCTACCGCAACAGGCATCAAGAGTATTTTATTTTCTCTGAAGAGAATGACTTGGTGTACTGTACAGATATTGTGCATCTTCTGTACAAGCTTGGAGTGCCAAAGTACGAACCTAAAGAATGGAGACTGTTCATTTACAGCAACAATCGATCACGGAAATGTGCTCTGTTGCATAACGGCAACCAGTTTGCCTCTGTAGCCCTCGCTCACTCAACTACACTGAATGAGAAGTATGAAGCGGTGAAGTATGTGCAGGAAAAAATCGTTATGATCAGCATGACTGGTTTATTTGTGTTGACCTGAAGTTATTTATTTTGTTGGGACAACAATCCGGGTTCACCATGTATCCATGCTTTTGTGCATGTGAGATAGTAGGGACAAAGCTAATCACTACAAAGAGGGACTGGCCTGTGTGGGAAGAACTGTTGTCTTGTAGAGCAAGAAACATCATCAACAACCTTCTGGTGGACTGAGACAGGATACTCTTCCCACCGCTGTACATCAAGCTCGGCTCGATCAAGCAGTTCACCAAAGCTCTGAACAAGGATGGTGGCTGCTTCACTTACGTCTTTGACGGTTATCAAATCCGTCAGCTCATCAGAGATCCTGATTTTGAAAACTCAATGAACATAGTGGAACTGGAACCGTGCATGATCAAACATTAAAGATCGTGGACTTGTATATCTTACCTAGGGCAGCACACACAAACAAATAGGCAATCCATTGAAGAGGAAATAGAGCGACGATTTCGGCAAACACTTAAGCATATTGCCGGATTTCTTGCCTTATAGTAAAAAGAAAAATCTTTAATCATTGTATCCTCCCAATCACAGCATGCAGTATTGGTAAGAAATATAGACCACGACCAGGATACTGGTGAGTGCCATGAAAAGATTGATGCTGGGAATTAGCCCGAGATAGAATGGGTTCACCTTGGAACAGAAAACAGACCATTTGGAAGATAAACTTAGGAACATTGAAAAGAAAAAATAGCAATGGACAGGTCACATATATTGGAGACATGACAGATGGACAAAGAAAGTAACAGACTGGGGCATACCAACGCAAGGAAGCAAGGGCCACACCTATGACATGATGGCGTAACGAAAATTTTAAAAGACTGATAAGCCTATTTCCTCCATTAGAATGTGATGATGATGATGATTATATATACATATATATGTGTGTGTGTGTGTGTGTGTGTGTGTGTGTGTGTGTGTGTGTGTGTGTGTGTGTGTTTGTTTGTTTGTTTGTTTGTTTGTTTGTGTGTGTGTGTTTGTTTGTCTGATTGTTTGTTTGTGTGTGTGGGTTGATAGTTTCATTGCGAAGCAAAACTAATCCTCGATTAAAGATCTCAGTTACATTAAAGGTGTTAAGTCCAATTCCTGATTTACTTGACGATTTTAAAGGATACCAAATCACTTAAACGGAACATGGACATTGTAATTACCAAAGCCGACAAAGGTAATAGTGTAGTTATCCTTAATGAACCAGATTATATAAGCAAAGCTCATTCCCTCCTCAACGACAACTCAACCTATCAATAACTGCGTTCCAATCGATATCCTTCTGTCACGGAATCATTTCGTAAGAGTCGTATTGCTGTCAAATCTCCTGACCCTAAATTCTTTGATCACTTTAGAACGGTAAATCCCTCTATTCCGTATTCTTATGGC